CAACATCAACAGTGATAAAGTATTGATAGGATGTACTTTTGATATGATGTCATGACATGGCACCCTATACCCCATGGTCTTCCTTTCAAAAACCTATAACTCCAGTCTCGTCATGAGAAAAACTTGCAATAAATTCCAATAGAGGGGCATTCTACAAAGTACCTAATCGATACTCCTCAAAATAGTCCAGTTCAGGGGAGAAACCAAGATGGCGGCATAGGTAAACACCGGAGATTGCTGCCTCACACAACCACTTCAAAAATACAACTAAAAGACGGAACAGACATCATCCAGAACCACAGGAAGGCTAGCTGAGTGGAAATTCGACAACTAGAAGGAAAGAGAAAAGCATACCGAGACTCAGAGGAGGTGCGGTGCAGAAGTAAAATACAAAGGTGCAGAGGTGCATGCGGAGAGGGCTGGCGGCTGAGAACACGGTGGTCTTTTTCAATTGGGAGGGAGTCTCAAGCTCTGAGCTCCAGTTCCGGGCGAGTCTCTGGGGACCCAGACTCATATGGGAGAAACGGGACTGTCTGGCATCAGTCGGAACTCCAGGGCAGCTTTCTCTCTGAGGTGCTTGCAGCGATTACCTGGACACTGAGAAGCGGGGCCTCTGAGGGCAGGACTGAGAGCAGCCATAACCGCTCGCTCCGCCCTGTTGATCCCCTGGGACCCCCGTCCCGCCCAAGCCATGCACGGAGGCTTTTGCATATGAAAGGCCCGGCCCTTTGCAATCTGAAAATTACTTAACAAACTGCAGCTGGCCCAATGCCCCACGGTAACTTGCATTGCTTCACAGCTGGCTTCTTCTGGGTAGCCTCAGGCAGAGGCTAGATTAGCACCTCCTTAGAGATCCAGGAGCCAGTGTGCCCGGTGGTCAGAGTGGGACCATCCAGATTGCAGCTCCTTGGATCCATAAAGGACACACTCGGGGCAGACTCAGTGAGCACCAAAGCCCCACTGAAGCAAGTCTTGTCCCGGAGGGGTATCTCTAGCACAGAAGTTCTCCCACTGCAGACACAGCTGATTCTCACAGCCAATTGGCCTGGAGGTCAATCCCTCCCAGTGTTACCTACAACAATCAAGGCTTAACTACAACAAGACTGTGCACAAAGCCCACAAGGGGGTGCACCAAGAGTGTCTACCTCAGGTAATTGGGGAGGCTGAGCCACTGGGCCCTATAGGACACTTGGCACAGAAAGCCACTCTATCGACACAGCGAAGCATAAAAAATGCCGAGACAAAGAAACGGGACACAAATGACAGAAATGGAGGAAAGCAAACTACTGGATATAGAGTTCAAAACCACACTTTTAAGGTTTTTCAAGAATTTTCTAGAAACCGCAGATAAACTTAATGAGATCCTCAAGAAATCTAGTGAGACCCTCAAGGTTGTGTTAAATGACCAACTAGAAATTAAGCATACACTGACTGAAATAAAGAATATTATACAGACCCCCCACAGCAGACTAGAGGATCACAAGAATCAAGTCAAAGATTTGAAATACGAAGAAGCAAAAAACACCCAACCGGAAAAGCAAAATGAAAAAAAGAATCCAAAAATACGAAGATAGTGTAAGGAGCCTCTGGGACAGCTTCAAGCATACCAACATCCGAATTATAGGGGTACCAGAAGAAGAGAGAGAACAAGATATTGAAAACCTATTTGAAGAAATAATGACAGAAAACTTCCCCTACCTGGTGAAAGAAATAGACTTCCAAGTCCAGGAAGCGCAGAGAACCCCAAACAAAAGGAATCCAAAGAGGACCACACCCACCAAGACACATCATAATTAAAATGCCACGAGCAAAAGACAAAGAGAGAATCTTAAAAGCAGCAAGAGAAAGACAGTCAGTTACCTACAAGGGAGTACCCATACGACTGTCAGCTGATTTCTCAACAGAAACTTTGCAGGCCAGAAGGGAGTGGCAAGAAATATTCAAAGTGATGAATACCAAGAACCTACAACCAAGATTACTTTATCCAGCAAAGCTATCATTCAGAAGTGAAGGTCAGATAAAGAGCTTCACAGATAAGGAAAAGCTAAAGGAGTTCATCACCACTAAACCAGCATTATATGAAATGCTGAAAGGTATCCTTTAAGAAGAGGAAGAAGAAGAAAAAGGTAAGGATACAAATTTTGAACAACAAATACACATCTATCAACAAGTGAATCTAAAAATCAAGGGAATAAATAATCTGATGAACAGAATAAACTAGTGATTATAATAGAATCAGGGGCATAGAAAGGGAATGGACTGACTATTGGGGGGAAAGGGGTGTGGGGGATGCAGGAAGAGACTGGACAAAAATCGTGCACCTATGAATGAGGACAGTGGGGTGGGGGGTGAGGGTGGAGGGTGGGAGGGGAACCGGGTGGAGGGTAGTTATGGGGGAAAAAAAGAGGAACAACTGTAATAATCTGAACAATAAAGATTTGATTTTTAAAGAAATTTTTTAAAATGCTCAATGATTGAGTGTCGATCTATGAACTAGGCGGTCACGGTTCGATTAAAAAACAAACAAACAAACAAAAAAACAGTCCAGTTCATAAAAAAGAGAGTATGTCACAGTCAAAAGAAGCTTAAGGGGCATGACAGTAAATGTAAGGTGGTATCCTGACTGGAGTCCTGGAACAGAAAAACAACTTTAGGTAAAAGCTAAAGAATCTGAATAAAGTATGGACTTTGGTTAATGATAATGTATCAATTTTGCTTTATTAATTGTAACAAATAATGTAAAAGATGTACTGATAGCAGAAACTGGGTGGGTGGTACTTGGGAACTCTCCTACTTAACATTTCTGTAAATCTAAAACTTTTTAAAATATCAAGTAATTTTTATTTTATTTTATTTCTTCATTTTTAAAAAATATTTTTATTGATTTCAGAGAGGAAGGGAGAGGGAGAGGGAGATAGAAACATCAATGATGGGAGAGAATCATTGATTGGCTGCCTCCTGCACTCTCCCTACTGAGGATCGAGTCAGCAACCTGGGCATGTGCCCTTGACTGGAATTGAACCTGGGACCCTTCAGTCCGCAGGCTGATGCTCTATCCACTGAGCCAAACCGGCTAGGGCTCAAGTAATTTTTAAAAACAGGCAAAGGGTTTGAATAGACATTGTTTCTTTCTCACATTCCCTCCTTTCCCGCCACTATTTTTCTATTATATGTATGCATGCATAGATATAGATCTATAATGATGTTCATCTCAGTAATGTGATTTGGTGTAACTTTTTTTTGCTTTCTTTATATTTTTTTCTGTGTTAATATGTGTTTTTATAAGAGGTATTTTACATTTACAAGTCATTCTGATAAAGTAATAGTGTAAGTCAGATCAGCATCTGGCACATGTGGTAAATGTTTGCTAAATAAATGAAAAACATGTTGACAGTTAGTATTTCTCCACAGAGCCATATTGGTTAGCATTTTCAAAGGTTAGTTCTTTTGTCTTTAAAGGTAATCACTTAATACTGGTCGAGATGTTTCTATATAGCTCTGACTCAGACCTTTTGTCCTCAATTTTTAGTTTCTGGAACTAATGTATTGGAAGTATCATCAGAAAGCTGCAGAAAAAGGGGTTTATATCATTGGAAGCAGCGGCTTTGACTCCATTCCAGCAGATATGGGAGTAATATATACCAGCAATAAAATTAATGGTAATTATTGATTAATTCACAATAGTTGAATTTAACAGTAGAAAGCCTTCATGTTTGCAATTAATGATGAACTAAAATCTGGTTGATTGAGAAAAGAAATATCTATAAATGGGTAATGTTAAAACACACACTTCGTTTTTAATATAGCTATGCTTATTATAAAATGCTATTGACACTATCGTTTTGTTTTGTTTTTTAAGATATGGATAGTAGTGTTAGTGTTCTAAAATGAAGAATTATCCATTGTCTCAATTTCTTTATGGTTACAGCTGTAAAATTTCTAGGAAAAAAATTTGGCAGCCATTATAAATTCAAATTTGCTTTGTTTAGGAATTAACACATTTTAAGTTATGTTTTATATAGATATTATAGTCAAAGGTTTTATTTTTTTAACCAACAAAGCTAGAAAGCATTGAACAAAGTTTTTGATATCTTTTTTACCCCATTTATAAACTAGAGGCAATAATTCAAGAATAGAAAACATCATCAATAGTTTGGTAAGACATGGAAATTACTAATATCATGCATATTTTAAAAGTATTCATTTAGAGAATGACCTAAGAAGAGAATTCCAGTACCACACAAACTGTTCTAGAGCTTAGAAAGATGAAAAGTGTTTCAGTTTATATTTAAAAGTTAACTCTGAAACAAAGCCCAACAAAGATAGCACACATAAAAAAAAAGAAAGCTAAAATCAATCTTGCTTGTGAAACAGGTTGTAAAAAGAAAATGCTAAATAAAATTTTAATAAACATCGAGTGACATTTTAGAAGAATAATATATCAAGATAAAGATTTATTAGAAAGTTACATAATCATCACATCGGAATATCAGTGGTGAAAGCTATACATGTCATGTACTGATTACAGTTTTAGAAATGAAGAATAGAATAATTTCTTAACATAATAAATGTCAGAGAGCAATAGCCAACCTCATACTTAATGATGCAACACTGGAACCATTCCCAATAAAAAGAAAAACATGAATTGAACATCTTTAAAATATTTAGTCTTTCAATCCATAGACCAGGTATGTCTCTATTGTCTTTTAAGTCTGTAAAGTTGAGATGTTTTCTTCATGATAATCCTACATATATCTTATTGAGGTTATTCCCAAATATTTAAAAGTTTTTGTTACTTTAAATAGGTCTTTTTTTTTTCTTTTTAAGGGAGAACTAATACTTTAAGGCAGCCGTGGGCAAAACTACGGCCCCGTGGGCCGGATCTGGCCCGTTTGAAATGAATAAAACTAAAAAAAAAAAAGACCGTACCCTTTTATGTAATGATGTTTACTTTGAATTTATATTAGTTCACACAAACACTCCATCCATGCTTTTGTTCCAGCCCTCCGGTCCAGTTTAAGAACCCATTGTGGCCCTCGAGTCAAAAAGTTTGCCCACCCCTGCTTTAAGGTGTATGTAAAAACTTTTTTCAGATACTAAAAGCTAGGAGTCAGAATTTTAACAATTATCCTAGCTGATTTTTGATGCAGGTGGTCCACATTTTATGACATACAGCTTTACTGGTCCATTTTCTTTCTTAGGAGGAATTAGATCACAGAGCCACATATTCAGGCTACGTTCTCCTAACAGCCCTTCCAATCATCTCTGCTGTGATATCCCTTAATGATCTGTTCTTGGTTTCTGTCAGAGGTCAGACTACTGACATTTATGTGGCTATAATTCTCTCCTGCTGTTGCATCATCATTGATGACATGGTTCATTACTTTCTCAGTGTCAACTTTTCTAAGTACCATGTTTTAATTTTTTCTTGGAATTAAACCTAGGAACACTGTCTCTTATGAAATTGATATTTCATTTTTATCAGATTTTGAGATTCAGCCCATTATGCTTTTCTTTTGTCTTACTGCTCTGGAGAATTTCAAAGATTAATTAAATACTTAATCACTGTGCCTATATATTAGTTCTCATGGTTAATATAATTGATTTCTCCCCTTTTTTCTGGTTTTGGTTTTCTATATTTACTTTATACTTATATTTTCATTCCATTTTTAAAGTCTAAGTATTTTATAAGTCATCACAAAGGTCATTTTGATAGGTTTTCTGTACATTAATTGTATGTCACTATTAATAAGTATTCTTAAAAGCTGTCATATTAGAAAACCAAATAATTCCCATAGATGTACTTCTCAGAACTATGTCCTGCTGGCCTTCCAGGATGAGTGAGCTAAATTGTTGCCCTGTTGGGAGATTTTTAGTGTCAGTTTGAATACTAGCAAATATTTTGTCAGTACTCGCAGGTAGAGTTTATGCCAAACTACTCTTTCTGACAATTTACCTGGTTCAGCTGCCTTTTAACTCTGTTTACAATAACATAGTAAAACTGTTACCAGTATTGATTTTCTGACTATATCAGCTGTAGGCTTAGTAAAAGCAGTCCCTAAATGAATAGGAATCGTTCATTGTTACTGTCCTGGCAAAATAGATTTTATTTGCTTTTACATTGACCATTTTCCTACTCTTGTAGGTACTTTGACTGCGGTGGAAAGTTTCCTGACTATAAATTCAGGACCTGAGGTTAGTTTTCCTCTTTGTCAAGTGCTTTCTAAGTTAATACTAAAAACATTTTGAAATGATACATGCTTCTTAAAAAAATATTTAAATTAATTAAATTACACATATATTTGTACTTTTTAGTGTATGAAAGTCCCTGTGTTTAATTTTAAAAAATAAAGGTGCTTTCGTGGCCAAACAAGAAATGCATGATATAAATACATTTACAGTCTATTTGGGAACATAAGATAGTTGCCTTTCTGGGAAGAGACCATGTTTGTGATAGTACTTTATTTTCAGTGGTGTCTAACGAGGCTTCCTAAGTATTTGTTCATTCCACCCTGGCCATGTAGCTCAGTTGGTTAGATACACCAAGGTTGCAGGCTTTTATATATATAGACTAGGGGCCCAGTGCATGAATTCATGCACCTTGAAAGGAACTGTGGGCCCGTGAGGCTGTGGTGGGTACAGGGGCTGGTCTCAGCCCATCCTCTGCGCCCCCGCCCGACCCCTCCTGCTGTAACCCCTGGTCTCCTGTTTGTCGGCAGCCCTGCTCCCGCCACTGCCACTCCCACACGCTGACAGCGCCGGCCCTGCTGACAGTGCGGAGCAATTGGGGCCGGCACTAACAGCGGGTGCAAGCAGGGCCAGCGCTGTCAGCGGGTGCGGTGGAGGCAGCTGCCAGCCTGATTGCCCCTTAGGAGCAGGGGGAAGTGGAGAAGCCTGAGGGGTGATCGGGGCCAGAAGCCACCACTTGCACCCGCTGACTGCGCTGAGCGATCAGGGCCAGCGCTGGGCACTGGCAGCGAGTGCGAGCAGTGGCTCCGGCGCCAGCAATGGGTGTGAGTGCCGGGCGGGACTGCAGCGTGTGGGACTGCAGCGTGCGGGACTGCAGCGTGCGGGAGCAAAGAATTTTCAGTAACTACCAGAGGCTCGCCCCAATGACAGCGACCAGCACACCGCCCTGTCTTGGTCTGGTGCCCCCGCTCACCTGCTCCACCATCCTGCTGTGGCCGATGCCCTTCATGTTCTGCTCACGCCCAGTGGTGGTCAGTGCACGTCATAGCAACCAGTGGTTCCGCAGTTTGGTCTGTTTGCATATTAGCATTTTATTATATAGGATACTGATGGGCACTTGGGCTGTTTCCAAATCTGAGCTATTGTAAATAACACTGCTATGAACATAGGGGTGCATATATTCTTTCTGATTGGTGTTTTAGGGATTTAGGATATATTCTCAAGCACGATTGCTGGCTCAAATGGAAGTTCCATTTTTAATTTTTTGAGGAAACTCCATACTGTGTACTAGGGTTCCTTTTTCTCCACATCCTTGCCAGCACTTTTCATCGGTTGAGTTGTTGATGATAGTCATTCTGACAGGTGTGAGGTGATTTCTTATTGTGGTTTTAATTTCCATTTCTCTGATGATTAGTGACTTTGGACATTTTTTCATATGTCTCTTGGCCATTTGTATGTCCTCTTTGAAGAATTGTCTATTCAGGTCTTCTGCCCATTTTTTAATTGGATTGTTTGTCTTCCTTTTGTTGAGTTGTATGAGTACTTTATAATTTTTTTTATATTAACCCCTTATCAGCTGTATTGTTGGCAAATACGTTCTCCCATTCAGTGGGTTCCCTTTTCGTTTTGATGGTAGTTTCTTTTGCTGTGCAAAAGCATTTTATTTTGATGTAGTCTCTTTTGTTTATTTTCTCCTTAGTTTCCTTTGCCTTGGATATATATTGGCAAAAATTCTGCTACATGAGATATTTTACTGCCTATGTTGTCTTCTAAGATTTTGTGGTTTCATGCCTTAAATTTCAGTCTTTTATCCATTTTGAATTTATTCTTGTGTATAGTATAAGTTGGTGGTCCAGTTTCATCTTTTTGCATGTGTCTGTCCAGTTTTCCCAACACCATTTGTTGAAGAGGCTGTCTTTACTCCATTGTATGTTCTTGCCTCCTTTGTCAAATATGATTTGACCGTAATGGTGTGGGTCAATTTCTGCAGTCTCTGTTCTGATCCATTGGCCTATATGCCTGTTTTTGTGCCAGTACCAGGCTGTTTTGGTTATAATGGCTTTGCGGTATAGTTTGATATCTGGTATTGTGATTCTTTGCCTTTCATTGTTATCAAAGCTAAGATATTAAAAACCTGACTCTTCTGATGGTGTTATTGTCTCCCTTATTCTGCTTATTAGCAGTCAACAGTATCTGCACATCTGCCTCACCGATATTCCTCTTTCTTTTTTTTTTAATATTTTATTGATTTTTTACAGAGAGGAAAGGAGAAGGATAGAGAGTTAGAAACATCGATGAGAGAGAAACATCAATCAGCTGCCTCCTGCACACTCCCTACTGGGGATGTGCCCGCAACCAAGGTACATGCCCTTGACCGGAATCGAACCTGGGACCCTTCAGTCCACAGGCCGACGCTCTATCTACTGAGCCAATATCGGTTAGGGCCGATATTCCTCTTTCAGAGTCTTGTGACAAAGTTGGTTTTGAATGTTTCTAAATGACTTTATTCATTCAGACAAAGTAAACAACATATAAGGCAGGACATAATACAGTTATGCACAATCAAAATTATAAATTAAGTTTGGAATATTTACATAATAGAGAATTAAAAGGCCCACCTAGATGTTCGGGAAAGAAGGTTCAGCCCTGGGACGGTAAGTTCCAGGATCACTTCTTCGCCTGTGCTTTCCTTTCTGCCACTCATTTCTTCTTTTATAATAACTTAAAAAATATTTTTTTATTGGTTTTAGAGAGGAAGGGAGAGGGAGAGAGAGATAGAAACATCAATGCTGAGAGAAAAATCATTGATCCGCTGCCTCCTGCACATCCCTTACTGGGGATTGAGCCCACAACCCGGGCATGTGCCCTGACTGGGAATTGAACCATGACCTCCTGGTTCATAGGTCGACGCTCAACCACTGAGCCACATTGGCCAGGCTATATGTTGACATTTTAAGGAATCAACATAAGGATATGGATTAGAGAGGCTAATTTTGAAGGAATATGGTCAGTTGAGTGAAAATTATGAAGTGAAATACAATGGCTTATTGAAAAGAGCATAAATAATGGTAGAAGGGAATAAGAAAGGGCATTTGTTGGTATAAATATTGAATGTGACCAAAATAATGACTGTTATTGCTGCCTAGCCGGTCATGAAAATTCATCTAAAATGATCAAATAATGGATTATGCCTTGCATAAATAGAGGTGAACTGTTCTTTGTGCCAATTATATCGTATTTGGTTTTACATTTTAATAATTATTTCTTAAGACATGTTTCTTTAACTCTTTAATTATTTTATTAGGGGTTGTGCATTCATGATGGTACCTGGAAGTCAGCAGTTTATGGTTTTGGAAATCAGAATCAATTGAAAAAACTACGAAATCAGTCAAATCTGAAACCTGTCCCAATTGTTGGTGCAAAATTAAAAAGAAGGTATATTAGTTCAAAAATCTATTTTTTAGTATATCTAGTCTAACTATTTTGTGTTGATCTGGCTATTAATAAAGTATGCTACTAAGAAAAGCCTGCAGACTAGTTTGTAGTAAGTCCAGAATTATTCTCAAAGATAAATAAAATATAATTAATACCTTACCCTAAGCGTAAGTATGTCATCTCTCTATATAAAAACCTAATATGCAAAGTGCCCCCTTGGGAGTCCTACCAACCCGGAGTTTGATCACTCGCTATGATGTGCGCTGACCACCATGGGGCAGCACAGAACAAAGGGAGTCCCTGGCCTGCAGCCAGCAGCCGCTAGGGACCCTACCCATGCACGAATTTCGTGCACTGGGCCTCTAGTATATAATAATACATTTGGCCCTGGCCGGGTTTGCTTGCAGTTGTTAGAGTGTCAGCCCTTGGACTAAGGATGGCAGGTTTGATTCCTGGTCAAGGGTAAATACCTGTGTTGCAGGTTCAATCCCTGGGGGCGCATGTAGGAGGCAACCAACCAATGTTTCTCTCTCCCCCGCCTCCTCCTTCCCTTTCAGCCTCTAAATACCAATGGGGAAAAATATCATTAATATTTTTCATTAATAAATAAATAAAATAATACATTTATACCCTTGGGAAAAAGTTTTTGACTTTTCACTATTGATATAAAAATTAAACATCAATTAAATTTTGTACAGTAAAACTATCAACTTAAAGTGTGATAATCTTATGTACTAGTAACTTAATCAACATGTGAATAGCACTCAGAGTTTGGCTGTTGAAATGAGTGTTCTCTTTATCATTGTCCTGTGAAACTGATGGGGTGAAACATAGTTAAACTACACGTATTAAGTGCCCACGGCAAAGAATACTCCTCTGTTCACTGGGCTCATGTTTGGGTGCAGGTGTAGAGAATAAAGGACAAATACTGAAATATTAATTAGGAGCAGATCTGCCATCTTCGTTGTTCTTACTGCCTTGAGAAAATTAAAATGGTTATTCAGAAATGTACCAGTTGAAATGGCGGTCACTGTTACTGGAAAGAATGCAGCCGGGTCTGTCTTGCAGGTGGCCAGTCTCCTACTGCAGAGAACTCGGCAGTTACTCCATTCCTTTCCTGGGAGCGGATGTGTCTGTTGTGAAGCGAACTCAGCGTTACTTGCATGAAAATTTAGATCAATCACCTGTAAGTTTATATGATTGATTTTTTAATAAAGAGCATTCTATGTTTGTTATAGTTTCCCTACAGTTTAATTAGGATTTTTATGTTTATAAAGCAAAAAAAGAAATAGCTAGATAATGTGTGTTTCGTTTCTGGAAGTTGACAGAGTCAGTAGTTAGTGTAGAGCATTTTGCATGTTATGGGGGTGGTCATGGCCTCCCCCCATTGTTCATATCTGGCCTATTGAACACTTGAATGGAACACAACAGCAGCAAGTTCAGTGCAGGAAGTCCTGGTTCATAAACCCGACCGTCAGCTGCTGGAGTTCTTCCTGTGCTGGTGGAGGCCTCTGGGTTCTCTTCTTCTCTCCTTGCTGCCTCTGAGTATCACCCTGCTCCTGTTTCTGAGGGAAGCACACAATTGCTCCATCTGCTGAGACTTGAAGAGGCCACTATCTCAAGTTAAAAGATCAGAGTATTTTCTTATAGAAGAGCTTATAAGTGTAGTCTGTGCTCTATCAGGTATAATTGCTAAGTTCGGTGTGTGATTGAACTTTCTATATATGGATCATGTGGAAGCTAATTAGTATTTGCAACGATTTATTTTAAAAATACGCTCCCGATGCCTGGTTCCTAAAGAGGCTATCAGAACATAACATAGTCATAAGGTGGGAACGGCTTTTGTTCACATTTATGACTTCAGAGCACATTCTAAGAGCCGACATTATAACTAGAGAGTCACGTTCGGACTTCGTTCTCATCTAGGTCCAGTATGCGGCTTACGTCACTGTGGGAGGCATCACCTCTGTTATTAAGCTGATGTTTGCAGGACTTTTCTTTTTATTGTTTGTGAAGTTTGGCATTGGAAGGCAGCTTCTCATCAGAGTAAGTGGTCTGTTTATGAAATTGGACGTACAAGCATTTCCATGAGTTTAAAATAGTTCACTGAGGGCTGTGTTTTTCCCCCTTTAGTTTCCATGGCTCTTCTCCTTTGGTTATTTTTCAAAACAAGGTCCAACACAAAAACAGGTAACTCTTTCTTTTGTGTTCAGGTCTCTAAAATAATATTTTTCCTTTGTTTTTTACTTTTCCTCAGTGCAGTGACAATCACAGCTAAGACTTGATGGAGCACTTGCTATTTACATTCTTCACATAAATTAGATTACTCAGTCTTCTCAAACACCTCTAGAAGTGGGTTTTATCTCCATCTTTACATCTCTAAGTGGAACAATAATAAATTACTTGCAGCCTATTTTTGTCTTGGCACCTCAGATACCTAAAACCAGATTATCATATTCTATCAACCTAAAATAAAAAGTACTTGCAGCTTTTGCCCTAATACTGCCTATTTCAGCGGTGCTATCCTGTAAGCCACAAGATAAGACTCATCTATATCTCCTCCTTGTTCCTAGTCACCTCCGCGCCCCCCCCCCCCCCCCCCAGCATCACACCAGTCTTCAAAACTTGCATCCTCAAAGAATTAATGTTTGCTCCATGCTTAAAGGATAACAGCATATTCTGGCAGATAGAAAGTTGATGTTTTTATCTATTGAAAATCTCTCATGTGAAGTAGAATAATAGGTTAGATTGTGCTCAGGGGAAATTACATATTTCTTAAATAAACATTTGTTTGGTTTCTTTTTCTCAGATTGATGCCGCCTCATTTACAATGACATTTTTTGGTCAAGGATACAGCCACGGCTGTTCTGCTGAGAATAACAAACCCAATATCAGAATTTGTACTCAGGTGAAAGGACCAGGTATTTCACATATGACTTAAGGATACTTGGGAATTTTACACTGTGTTAAATATAAGGTGTTATGTTATTCTTTTCAAAAACATAATTATTTTAGAAATATATTTGCACAAATTATTTAAGTATTACTGATAAATGATTCTGTCAAAAGAAGGATTGAAATTATTGGTATAAACCAGTTTTATTAGTGTATCTCCCCCTCTGTTTTTCTTTCTCAGGATGATTCAGTAATCTGCATGGCAGGTTTTAATATTAAAAAGAGAAGGGGCTGGTTGATATCTGTTTGGTCCAAGGCTTCTTTGGACTTTGTAATTACCCTGATATTGTTTATAAAATGGGTGTATACATGTGCATTTTTCTGGGGAGGGTAAAAACTTTTGTAAGGTTGTTAAAAGTAAGTATCATCCAAAAAAGTTCTAGAACTTTTTCTGTAAATTTTAGATAACTATACAGATAGTCCCACTTATGAATTTAGTATAATTGTAAGTCTAGTTACTGTCATCCCTGATAGGTTACAAGAGGTTTGTTTTGCAGTTTTAATCAAGCAAGAGGGAAAGATATCTTTGTATCTTGCCCTTTTTTCAAATTCCCATCTGGGTTACTAAGATAAGTTGACTGTGTTTTTATTATCTGACAGGAGTGTAAACACTAATGCCCCAGCTGGTTACAGTGACTTCTTCTTGAAGTGAGACTTCTCTTAAGTTACTCTGGGTTTGTTTTTTAAGAAATTGAGTCCTTTTTTAAGTGAAGTGTAGTGCATTAATAGAGAAACAAGAAATCCTAGGATCATTGGCTTTGCTTATTATCAAGAGGCAGTGCAATGTAGTGGGTAAGAGCTACCTGAGTGCAATTCTGGCTCAGCCACTGCCTGGCTTTGTGAGTTTGGACTAGTCACTTAACCTGTCTATGCCTCAGTTTCCTCATCTGTAAAATGGGGACAAAAATAGAGCTAACCTTAGTTAGCACTATTGCTAAGGAGAATCAAATAAATTTGGTAAATTTAAAGCCCTTAATACAGTTCCTAACACTTCGTTAAGTACTATGTAAATATTAATTATTATTTTTGTTATTGAGTGAACAAAGTGTTTATTGAGATAATTCTGTATACCTAGAGTTAGATCTAAAACCTCCTTTTTAATTTTTGGGCGTTTTGAATGCATATTTTATGAAAACTTTTTCTTTGTTCAACTCTTCTCTGCAGAGGCTGGCTATATAGCTACCCCCATAGCCATGGTCCAGGCAGCCATGACCCTTCTAAATGATGTCTCTAACCTTCCTATCGTGTAAGTCTGGTTTTCTTCTAATTTGAGGATCGCTTTTTCATGTTATGTTTTAGCTTATATTGATTTGATTTTCAGGCATTGGGTCTGCACATAAGTGTTTACAGTTCCTTTGATACAGAGCTAGAGGTAAATTAAACTTGTGAGAAGGAAAATCCCTTATGGACCTGGAAACAATGCAGAGGTGATGGAGAGGAGACAGAGACGTGTGAGGGCCAGTTACGGTGACTTCAGTTCCCTGGCAGCACTGACACCAGCGTGATTGATTCCTGGCGTCCTGGCGAGATGATTATCAAGGGGACTGTCTACTGGAGCATTTAGCTGTTCCCTAAAAGTAGGCCAGCTTCACAAAGGAACATAGGCCCTCAGGCTCAGAAGTAAACAAGTAGGACCTGAAACCTGTTAAGTCATAAGCAGAAAAATTATATAGAATGAAACCTAATTAAATTTTTCCAAATAGTTGTATACCCTTTGAATATATTTAGCATTTACATGTCAAGAAACATTTTTCATTCGGTTTCAGTCCTCTTTATGCTTTATTAATCATTGATTACCTACATTTATTCCACTCAGGTTGTTATTTATCCTCCTGGTCAGAGGGCTGTCTATAGCGGGTGGTTCCCCGATGGGTGGCCCTTGTTGTGCCCCGCGCACACTGTTGGGGAACAGTCGCACTAGTCGCTGTGCTGGGCACCAGCTTCCCCCGGAGTAAGAGCTGCTTGCTCATTGGCTGGTTTTAGGAATGAACCCAAAGGAGCCCAGAACAGCATCAAAAGAATCAGGTTTCCGTGAGCTGTGCAGGGATTTGATAGCTAGTCCTCGGCAAGTCACTTCGCTCCAGCAGAGGGAGGGCAGAGCCTGCTTGGCTCACTGTGGTCTCATTATTGTCTTCCAGGGGCGGCGTCTTCACACCTGGAGCCGCTTTCGCCAAAACAAAGTTGATTGACAGACTCAGCAGACGAGGCCTGGAATTTAGTGTCATTAGCAGCTCGGAAGTCTAAACAATTGAAGATTTTTCTGAAGTCATAAAGCGCATGAATTAACAGCTTTTTTATTTGAAATTCTTCTGTGAGTCTGTCTGGCTCTATGTGGAAAAGATTACCAAATCTAAAATATGTACACATTAAAAGCAGGAATTATACTAGCTTACCCTAAATTTCAAATCTTACCTGATTTTGTGATTTTATTGCTTGTGAGAGAGAACTAATATTTGACCTACTTTTTCATTGAAGAATTCATGGTCAATTTTTATATGTGAGCTGGCAGATCAGAGGGTGGGAGTGTCTTATCTGTGTTGCTAACAGATCCCTTAAGGAGGCACCCAGGCTGGTCAAGGCCTCACTGCTGATTTCCTTGCCATGACATTGAGTGGATCTTACTTTCTAGTGAGTTTTTCTACCCGTGTGTGGGCCTTTGCCAAGTGAAGCTGTACTTTGTTACTTTAGCGTAGTTTTCACCCGTCTACACAGATTGATTTTGGACTTACCCAAGTTGCATAATAAAGGATTGTCAATTGAATGGTGGTTTTGTGTTTGGCTGGTACTTGGGTAGTGGCAGAAATGTGCTTCCTATGTACAGCCTTTCCCATAAGCCCCTGCCCCCCCCCCCCCCCCCCCCCCCCCCCGCCCCGAGTTTCAGTGTCATCCTATTTGATTTCCCTGGCTCTCTGTTTTAGAGAGCAAGAGCTGGGGTTGTCACCTCTGCTTCCTTCTTCCTGGTTTCTTATGCAAATCGGCCTAACCACTCCCCGACAGTCCTGCATGTTAAGGCAGCAGGTCACGTGATCAGGAATGCAGTCCCCAAGCCAAGCCCCAGCTTACTCACAGCGGCCTGAGCAGGCCTCAGGTATGTAACCTTTAAAGCCTCAGAGCTGGGAAATAATAGTGCCAAACCCGGAACGATGGCGAGAATTAAATGAGCTGTTAGGTGTTTAGCGCTTAGGTAAATGCCTAGGCACAGAGCAAGCGCGCTAAGTCTCGGAAGGGTTCTGTACAGCCTCTCCCAGACACTCAGTGCCTGTCAGTCCTCCGCTGAGACCCACCGGTGAATTCTTTGTGGAATCAAGATTGCCTGGAGAGCCCTGGCTGTGTGGCTTGGTTGGTTGGAGCGCCGTCCCATACACCAAATGTGGTGCATTTGCTTTCTGTGTGGAGTGGGGTGGAGAACACAGGGGCCCCTCCCAGAGGCGCCGTAGCACATTACAGGCAGCAGAGGATAGCGGGGACCCATCCAGGGTGGCTTTTAGAGGGAGAGAACTAAGGTGATGGGAGCCAGGTGATGAAACCAGTCCCTGCCTCGCTCCCTGTGGTGTCCGACCGCAGGCCCTGTGGCTGGGAACCCGTGCCATCCCCGGCAGGACGGGAGCTGCGGGACAGGCTGGAGGCCCACAGGCCTGGCACACAGTCTCCCTGCCTGGAGGTGCTTTTCACCGGAGCCAGCCGCCCCTGGGCAGAGCTGCTGGCAAGAAACTCCAAGCTGGCAGCGTCCCGGTGTAGAACACCCTCCCCCGCCCTCACGCGGCCCTGGCTTGCTCCTGAACTTGCCCGTCGTGTGACTGAGTCACACGCAGCTGTCTGCTCCCAGGAGCTGCTGGGGCAGCCCGTCCATGTGGCCTGAGTGAACATTGACACGATCCACCACCAGAGTTGCCACTGTCTGCACCTGGGCCCCCCGCTGCTCCCAACAGCCTGTCTTTTAACCTTCAAACCTCCCCACCCACTCACCCACCCGCCCTGCGCGCGTGTGCACACACACACACACACCCACACACACCCCTAGAAACGACCAGAAGTTACCACCAGCCTTTCAGAGGCTCGGAGGAACCGAGGAAGTGGGTCTCATGTGTGGAAAGGTCACTGGCACTTTAAAGGTAAAAATGGACAACCTTGAAGATGACAGATAGTAAGATTCATCTCAGAGCTGACTCCCCAGATGGGGGTCTTACCTGAGACCTGCTCTGGGGGGGGGGGGTGAGCCAGCCTCAGACATGCTGCTGCAGACTGAATGTCTGCGCCCCCAAGTTCACATGTTGGCACTTCACCCCCATGAGATGGCGGTAGGAGGGGCGCCTTTGGGAGGTGATGTCATGAGGTTGGGGCCTCGTGAACGGCATTAGTGTCCTTATGGCTCCATTGGTGAGCATCGTCCTGTGCACTGGAGTGATTCCCGGTTCAGGGCACGTCCCTGGGTTGCGGGTTTGATCCCCGGTTGGGGCACACAGAGAAAGCAACCACGGCAACCGAGTGTGTCTTTCTCACTCACATCGATGTTTCTCTCTCTCTCTTCCTCTAATCATGCCTTCGGGTGAGGATTAAAAAAAAGAGAGAGAAGTCGTCTTATGGCCTAAGAAGAGGGTTCTCAGCCGACACTGACCTGCTGGCACCTTGATCTTGGGCGTCCCAGCCGCCAGACCTGTGAGAAGTGTGTGTAGTCTAAGCCACTCAGTCTTTGGTATTTTGAAGTTGGGGCTCGGTAGTGGCTCCTCCGCAGGTTGCTCCCTGTGGGCTCACAGCCTGGGGGCCAGTTAAACTCTGGGGGGGGACCTCGGTGGCCCCAGGGCCTGGCAGACACAAGCGTAAAACCCCTTGAACAGGACAGCGAGTACCAGGTGTTCGCTATAGAACATGAACATAGACATTAACAGTCTAAAAAAAGGTTTTTAAAAATTGATCATCTAGACAATGTTGGCCACTTTAGGGCAATGAGCAGGACAGTTAAGCCCAGAGAAGTCTCGGTCAAGCAGATCGTCCATGACTGACCGTCCACGCATGGCCAGCCCTCCAGGGTACATCTCTACAGACGCCCTGCAAAGAGGGTCGTGTGTGCGGATTCGGGAGGGAGCAGCCCCCACAGGTCACCTGAGAACTAGGGGCACATCCGCTGAAGATGAGCTAAGGGGTGAGCATTCAGCTGGACGGCTGCTCTGCACACCTCACCCACACGGGCCACCACAGAGGCCCACTCCCGCATTCAGGCGAGGGATGGACGGTCAGCAGAGTTGTGAGCCTTTTCTGGATTCTTTTTTTTTTTTTTTTTTCAGTTCATCAGCATAGTTGGGTTCTCTAGCCAGGTTCTGTCTAGGATCTCCAGCCAGGTTCTGTGTAGGGTTCTCTAGCCAGGTTCTCCAGCCAGGTTCTATCCAGGTTCCCCCATCAGGTTCGGTCACCAGGTTCTCTTGCCATGTTCTGTCTAGGTTCTCCAGCCAAGTTCTGTAGCCAGGTTCTGTCCAGGATCTTTTGCCATGTTCTCTCACTAGGTTCTGTCTCTAGGTTCTTCAGCCAGGTTCTCTCGCTAGGTTCTGTTTCTGGGTTCTGTCTAGGATCTCCAGCCAAGTCCTGTCTCTAGGTTCTGTGTGTCTAGGTTCTGTCCAGGATCTTTTGCCATGTTCTCTCGCTAGGTTCTGT